TCGCTTGTTTTTGGGTGACATGACAGGAACAGCTCATTCATATGATGATTGAAGATGATGATTTGACTGACAAAAGGTGAGCACCAACCAAATAATAGACAAGTGAACTGTAGAGCAACTGATACAAAGTCTCAAGTCCATAATGCTCGGATGAGAACTTGCCACGAATTCTCTTATCAGACAAGATTAATCTAAATAAGTAAGCTACATTGTCTACCATTAACATAAAAGAGAAAAATAAATAAATAAAGCATATAGATGGATAGATAGATGCTTAACATTATCTTTATCTTTACTACTAATGGCTGTCAGTGTAGCTTGTAAACACCTTAATATATATGGTCATATTCCAATACCAAGAATGCGTTGTGATTTGTGAAACGCAAAACCTAAGCTAGCTCTATGTATAGAAATATTATATTCATGATTTGAAAGTGTATAGTATTACTACAATAAAACTACTATATTGCATAGGGAAGTGGCGAAATGAACTGTGACTGAATGCGTTGAATGACCAATGAAGATGGATACCTGACTGGTTACTTCGGTAATAGTACCCTTGCTGGCTGGTTTTTTCTGACTCTGAGTTGGAAATTCGAATGCTTTTTTTCAGAAAAAATATAAAAGCAAAAAAAGTATTTTTATAATTTTTGAAATAAAAGCAGGAGGACCCGTGTTTCGGCCCCCACAATTTGTAGTTGTAGCGCGCATCTTTCGGGGGTGTAGTCTCCTTCTGCATACTGCAACTGGGTCTCACTGATCACTTTTTATATATGTCTCTCTAGCTCTATCTTAAATTGCAATTATATGATTATAAAAAATGATAAAATGGTGGGGGATGGTGGTCGTCGCCGCCAGCTAATAGTCGTGACGGAGCCAATAAGGCCACAATAATTATATATAAGTAATACTACGTTATAAATAAGTTTTATAAAAATTTATATATAAATTTATATGATATAAAATAAATAAAAAAATAAATATATTGACTTTGATTTTTTATATTCATTCTTTCAATTGTTCATTTGATGTTAAAGTAAATTTGTTTCTACCTCTAATATTATTCACTATATATTCATTTCTTACTTTGTCTTCCTCTTCCCAGTCTTTAATTTTTCTTTGGCAGGCACACGTGGTTTTTCCTGCAAATGGTCATCATAAACAGTACATCTGCTCAGTTCAATCAAAGCCTTTCACTGTTTACCGTTGAATATTGTACTATACACATACGGATCTTCTCTGCTCTTACCACATCTCTTTGCACAGCAGTACAAACGTGAGGTCACAACGACCTTTATGAATTGTAAAAGCATTGGTGGTTGGAAACGATTCGATGATGTTCTTTTTTTTGTCATTTAATATGTGTTTGCTTCCGAACCAATTCTCTTCTCCATGACTATTAGCTATACTATGTATTGCCCATATAATAACAACAAAAATAATGTATATTTAATCGCGTCTTAATTGATGCAGGGTCAGGAGGTCCCATACTTCGATATTAATAAGATAATGAGCCACATCTGAACCATATACTTAGTTTTCCAATTTCACCAGTACGATGTTTGTTTATAACTTCAAATAAATACTGGCTTACACAAATTCCACCCAGAATTCTTTCAAGGATTAGTTTGGAAAAAAAATAAAATTAAGTCTTATACATTATATTGTAAAAAGAGACAAAGGAAAGATTAAATTTTTGATACCAATTGTACTGAATTGAACACTTGAAAATTGTTGGTGCTTGATTTTGACACCAATGACTCACATGTGCAAAATGTTAAACAGACTTAGAAATTACATGTGCTAAAAACATGAAACGAGAAACAATTTTTAAAGTGGTTCGGATGCTCAAAAGTGAATCATACGTCCACTATTGTTATATTAATAGATGGCTACAGTCAGGTCGCGTATAACGAGCTGAGTTACAATTTGGAGGGAATATAGGGGGAGAAAGAGAGAGAGAGAGTATGTTATTTTAGACTAGGATAAGTCAATCCCGCAAATGAGAGGGGAATCCCCTATTTATAGTCGGAGGATTCAAGATTATGATTATGAGCCTGTAAGTGGGTAGGTGTCGTGCAAGTCTTTTGTTACATCCCATTGGTTATCTGCACGAGAAATATCCTCAAATTGCATAGGGCTTGAGCAGGTGGATGATCCCTGGCCACTTACAAGCCTAATGTTCACCTGCTGCACTGACATAAGAACCATACTTCTTCCGTCACTGTACAACGTGATAACGTCTGAATGACACAAAACCTTCCTGAATCCTTATTGGCTCTTGCTGACGAGGGTCTACATCAACCCTAATTTTTTAGGCATAACAAGAATCACTTCCTTGTTTTATAAAATAAATTTTGATTTAGATGCGATTATATCATCATTTCCATTTCAATTAAAAGGAAACAGCATAAGATGGGATAGATCATTTTCTTATTTTCCTCTTATCTTTTTATGAAAGTCGAAAAAAAAAATTGTAATATTCTATATTACATATTTTAAACGGAACTTGTGCAAAAAGTTTATAGAAAATAGATGGTGGTTCTTTATCTAATTTAAAGTGTATACTTTTAGATTTTTTTTTAATTAAATTAGTTAAAATAAATTTCTATAATAAAAAGTTATGAGATTTTCAATTTTATTTAACAAATAAAATGATCAAATCAATACGGTACGCAAATTTCGTTTGACTTTTTTTTTCCTTTTTAAAAGTTCTATATTGGACAAATCATCCAATTCAATATTAATTATATTCTAGTACGCTATACATAGAAACACGATCCTATAGAAAAAAAAATGCAGTAAGAAGAAGAAGAAAGAAGTGTAATGCTAATTTGCACCATTGGAATCTTAAGATTCTTTTATTTAAATTGGAGAAGGAATCTCGATAAATAAAATAGTTTAATTCCACATTTCCAAGATAAATGCTATTTTTCTACTTTACACTGGTTATTCGCGGATAAGAAGTGTTTTATAGATTTCAATGTTCGGTTGGATGATAAATAAATTTTGTTTAATTTATTGATTTATAAAGTTCGTAGAATCATCTATTACATTTATGACTTACTTTATAATATTAGGTTTATAAAACATTTAATAAGTTTCAAAGATTAATTAAAATATGTACAAATGGCCTGAACATTCGATCATAAAAAAAAATAAAAAAAGGTGTTTTGTTCCTAATGTGAGAAGAACTGGAGTTTAAATTATTGTCATGGTGAAAAACGTTTTCTTGAATACATGGGAAGGAATATCTTTAAGAATAACTAGCTAACATGAATTGACACTGTATTTACTCCAGTGCAATGAGAAAATTTTAAAACCTTGTGTATATACATTCTACGGTCAATAACTCAGGGTTAATAGATTTACACAAGCAAGAAACAATTAATATCATAATTAATTTTTTTGGTGTTTATGGGGCGCATAATTGATTTTCATTTCTCTTTTAAACATTGGGAATATGTTATCTAATTTATGAGTTTTGATAAACCTTATATGCCAAGAAACTCTGACACTTATACGCATGGTTATTAGTATCCTATAATACTCTATATCTATTGTATGACACGATTCGATACATGTCACCAATAATATGTATCAAATAGTATATCTTAAATATTTCTATAAGTTGATATATATCATATGATACGATACGTATTCGTTCATATCCTTAAAAATATCGATATGACTTTATTAACTTAAGCCAAAGGCCCCAAAAAAATTTAAGGTCGAAACCGGGTTATCCAATCCAATTTGCTAAAACCTACCCAAATTTACCCATTTTGCATGGAGAAAGTTAAGAAGAACATATATTGCCCATTTTTCGTGATAATAATAGTATAAGTGGAGATATAGATATTAAAATTGATCTTGAAAATGATATAAAAAGTTGAGAGAAAATGATATATATTCTTAATTTTGTGATTAATTTTGATTATGTAATACCATAATTTAAAGCTAATAATACTATAAATTTTTTTAATTAATCTTAGGGATGATATTAATTTTTAGAAAATTTTAATTATTTTATTAATTTTTTTTAAAAAAACGTATCGTACAATACGATTCAATACGCGATACACGATTAGAAAAATTAAGATTTTAATATATGATACGATACACGATTTAACAATCACACTTCTACGTGCAATGGTTTTAGAAAATATTATACTTATCGATTTTGCGTACTAATTCTCCATTCCGGTTGACGTGGAGGGGAGAGTCCTCGTGCCGATATTGTCACACTTTATGTTATGACGATGGAGAGCTGGTCTGCAAATCGATAAGTATAGTCTCGCTCTAATGATCCTTTCTTTTTTTTTTCCTTTGCTAATTTATTTATATCATTATATATAAAATAAAAGTTTCGCCAAGTCAAGATCATGTGCATTATTTGTAAGCTGATTAATTTAATGCAATGTGTCCGACATAATGATAGTAGGTTTATGAGTTCCTTGTTCAGAGAAAAAAAAGAGAGAATTATTAAATCCCATATTACAAACACAAAGCTAATTTATTTGCCAAAAAATTGTTGAAGTAAAATGTTCAGTAATGATATATGAGATGAATTTATTATGATAGACTCATTAAATAAACTAATCAGTCTCTGACAAATATGCAAAAAAAAATATAAAAACATTAAATTAGGTGAGTGGCCGAGTCTAATCTCTTTCTCATTGTAGCTGGGGGCTATAAAGCAGGAAGAGGAGTAGAACGTCAAACGAGAAAACCAAAAAGCAACTAAAATAAGGTGAAAATTGAAACGTCCGTGAAACAAGTGTAATAAAATATGAAAAAGATAGAGAAAGAAAGCAAGAAATAAAAATCTACAATCAAATAGTTTGCCTTATCTCTCCTTTGCCTTTATTAGTTTTCAAATATTTCTTTTTCTTTCAAAAATTAAAAAAAAAAAGTCTTGTCAACCACTCAAGACACGCAGCCGTTGCCGGTTCCGGCTAAGTTACATCTTCTTCCCCAGTCCCCACAAACAAGTGAGAGCACCTCTTACTCTATCGCTCTTATATTCTTCTTGTTGTTTGTTCTTATATTATCTTCATCTCTATAGCATGTCCAAATCCTGGTGCAACTTCACTTCATGGCCTCCTTGATAGGCAGCCGTGCATAATTTTTCTTACCCAAATTATCCAAAATTTATGACTTCTCAACTTATTAGGTTGGGTATGGCAATGAAAACACAGTTTTTGGCTGTAAAAGACAAGTTGTCAAGCTATAGTCTCTAGGGTTTCTGTTTCTTCCTAACTAGTGCTTGTTTTAGGGTTTTCAGTTTCATTATTTTGTTTCTTTTTTTAGATATTTACTAGCTTTTGTCATCTGGGTTTGTTGATAAATGGAGGATTATAATCAGCTAAACGAGAACACAACTCCAAGAGGAAACTTCTTGTATAGTTCTCAAGTTCTTGGACCCAATTCTTCAGCATATGGTCGAGCAAATACTGGTTCTAACGTGAGTAATCAACAGACCCAGATGCCTATTAGCAGCAGCTTTCATCTTCAATCAGGTAATTGTTTTCAATCTGAAGCACACCCGATCGTGAAAACTGAAGCCAGCACCTCACAGCTTGGTCCAAAATTTCACTACCCTCTTATGAGAGGCCATCAATCACAAGAAGGAAGTGAGAGCTCCAATGAAGCTGAAGCTATTAAAGCCAAAATCATAGCCCATCCTCAGTACTCTAACCTTTTGGAAGCTTACATGGATTGCCAAAAGGTACTAATTAACCTCACACTCTTGAAACACACACACACACACACAAAAAAGTACTGCGATAGACAAAAAGAAGACGAGCGTTATAAGGGCGTTCATTTTAAAGATTGACTCTCTTATTCTCTCTTATTCTCTCTTACCTTTTGCTTCTGGTTAGGTGGGAGCACCGCCTGAAGTAGTGGCTCGACTATCAGCTGCTAGACAGGAATTCGAGTCAAGGCAGCGATCATCATCTTCTTCTCGAGACACTTCCAAAGACCCGGAACTCGATCAGTTTATGGTTTTCTTCTTTGACTTTTGTATATATTTCAGTCGAAGTCGTCTATTTTTTATTCTCACTCTGGGGTTTATATTTCTCGACGGGATCAATGCACAGGAAGCTTATTACGACATGCTGGTGAAATATCGGGAAGAGCTAACAAGGCCAATAGAAGAAGCCAAGGAATTCATCCGGAGAATCGAAACGCAGCTTAATGTGCTCAGCAATGGCTCGGTGCGGATCTTCAACGCGGGTACTTTCTTTTATACACTGATGCATATGCATATGTATAATATCACGTTGATGAAGAAGAAAGATTTGGGTTTACCCAAACATGGAAAGAAACAGAATAATCCATATAAGTTTCGTCGTAGCCGATATGGGTTTTGTTTGGCTTTGCTTGTAATAAGCAAAAATCGATTTTTTAGTCGGTTTCAGGTTCCGGAGTGCTTAGGAAATTCTTATAAGTGTACCTGCATCTCTTACATTCATTGATTAGCGCATTAATTCCTGTTCCAGAGAAGGAACTTTTTGACTCAGATTACGCCGTCCAATATAGTAGGAGACAAAGAAAGAAGACGGCAGACCCTAGAATGATCCACCCACAAACTTAGTAAATCTCTAAACCCTAACACGAGTTAGTATTCGAGTGTTTGATCTCTTACTTTATATAATCCAAGTTCTACTTGAAATTAAGGACCTTAAACAAAACTAAAAATACTGTACCAAGATAAGCAATGATTAAATCACACGTCGGCTTCAGTAATGGTTAGCCTTTCCATGGTCTGATTCTGCTGACAAACATCTTATTAGGGTTTCCTTCCCAAAATCTCGACCGCCACTTCCTTCTTCAGCTAAATTTAACTGTATGGGTTTGTGGAATATATACATAACCCGAGATGCATAGCATCATTATTGTCGAGAAGTCTTCACGAGCTTTTAAGTACCAAAAAAATATGCCCGTTTATTTTTTCCTAAATAAAGTTGAGGAAAATTTGAGAACATTGGATGCTATTCAAATCAGTGCTACCTCATGTAGCTTGTACGGCTTTGTCAGAAATATTTATTTCTTTATCCATTTTTGTGTTATTTATGTATATTTAGGTCCATTCACCGATGGGGAACTTTATTTTTTAAGTCTTAATCATAGTAAAACATTAATCCGGCGAATTATGCATATAATAAGAATGGTTCCTGTCCCTATCTTTTAGTGGCTTGAGATGGGGTTAGTATTTTGTTCCCAGAGAAATGCTTCAAAGCAACTCGTTTTTGAGAACGAAACACATTCATGCAGTGGCTAGTGGAGAGAGATATGTACTCCATTTTGCAGCTGAAGTTTAGAAATTTAGATGATTACTCAATCTTGATGCATTCTTGCGGAATATGGAAAGCCATTTTTTATGTTCGCCAAAGACATGTAATCTCTTGGTGCTGCACGTAGATCGATAATGTAATGTGGTTAACTTTATTCTCTGCTCATTAATGTTTGTTTTAAGTTGTTTTATTTATTATGTTTGAAATACCTCATGCGAATTTAGCAGTTCAGGGAGGCAGTTTATAAGTTGCTAACTTGTAGTCGTGTTACCAAATCTAATCGACATCTTGAGCTAATGAACTGGCTTATTTGTTGTTCACTAAGGATCAGTTACTTCTGTCTAGATTTACCTTAAATGAGAATAAATAGGAGTTTACCTACTGTGTTCTAATGGGATAACATGCTTGGCAATGGAGTTAAAATTGGGTTAGTTTTTATTGTTGTTGTGTTATAAAGGTATATGCAAGCTTATATCATATCAATACTTGGTTAGATATAAACCATATCCTTAAAAAAATATATATGCCTTACCATTCTGCCCCTGAAGGGATAGTCTGGATGATTTATTTCGTCTCTTGCAATGGAATAAGAGTTTGGAAAACATTGATCAAACTCGGTCTAAAATTTGTGCAAACTCGGTCCAGCATTACATATGCTTAATCGTGCAAACTGGGTCAATCTGATTTTTTTTTCATGATTTGATACACTTGTGCTTTCTCATGAACTATTGGAAGCTATATGTGAGAGCACAAAGGTTGGATAAAAAACATGTATTTTTGTGTATTTCTTCTCCTGCATGCTTGATTTACTGATATGATTGTTGACTTCTAGTTTGGCATGTAAGCATGGAATGGGGTCTTTTAAGCGGCTTGAATGTAGTATCAGATTTTTCTCAGTGGGTAACTGTGCAAGGCATGCTGAACATAAATATGGATCACACTCTAGAGATTATGATAGAGTCATGTCTTGTCATAAGGAAGAAATGTCTGTTTTCATTTTTTTTTTTTTTAAACAAAAATTTCTTACACCGTTAAACTTTATGAAAAAAAATAAAATACCGTGAGGTAAAATATGTTATACATTATTTAAGGTCTTTCTTATCTTTAAAACTTCTCAAGTAGTTACTCTTTTATAATCAAGGAGTTTAGTTTAGTTTAAATCGATGGATGAAAACTTAGCTAACAAGTAAAGTTGAACATTAGTATTAAGCTTTTTAACGTTAAGTTTTCTTACTACCGACATCTCAACTATGCTTTCTCACTTGTGTGCACTCCGTGCATCTTCAGATTTGTTGCAAGAAAAATATACATTTTTGCGGCAATTCAAAAAGTAACCATATACAAGCTTTTCTTCCCCAGTTGATTTGTGGAAGTATAATTGTCTTATGGTCTGAAATAAGTATGAAAATATATTGTTTTTAGACCACAGGGAAAGCACTCATGTCAGTGTTACTTAGAATTTAGCAATTTGTTGCTGGGTTGTTTCATTTTCGTTATTCTCCTTTTGGGGCTTCATAATTTTGCTTTTAACTGTGCTCTTGTATGTGGTCTTTCTTGTTTTTAGTTCTGTGTGCATCAAGAATTGCTTGTGCATTTCATCATATCAAATTGATATTCATTTCTTTGTTTTAAATGAAGTCTAGTTCAGATTATATTTAAATAATACAAAACTTGTTATTCGTTTGTGATACAAGTAGGCCATCAATGATGAAACACATTGATAAATTTAATGGATGTGGATGAAAATAAGGATACTGATGTTATTGATGAAAAAGCAAATTTCTGTCTTTGGAAAGAGGAAGTAAAGTCGGCGCGGATCGTTCTAAATGTTACACTACATTGGCGGTCTTAAAATTTTTTTGCCAGAGATGAGGTCTCTTTATAACATACACTTCTCTGCCATTTTGGAATTACACTCTCTCTCTTAGCCCCTTTTGATAACCAGAGGGTTTGTTATTATACATAAGGAAACTCATAATTTTATATTATATGTGTTATCTGAGCATTTCAAGTTAAGGATGTGCTAAATACTTTGTAGAGTTTCATGATATGCTGATCATTTTAGTATACATGTGATGTGGTGAAAGAAGAGGATATGCTAAAATATAAACAGAAACCATTTGAGATATAGCCAAATGATTTTTGACTAACATATCATGTGCTATCAGGGATATAGGATCAGTATACTATCGGTTTTGAATTTGGAATTTTATGTCGATTGGATGGAAAGGTTTAATAGGAGCATATCTTTTAATCAGACATGAGTAAAGATAAAATCAAATTTAAAATTGTTGGCTTTTGCATTTTACTTCTACATGGACTCAATAAGTGGCATATATTTACTGACATCTTCCTATCAAATTTGAGGAAAATATCTTATTGTTGGTAGGGGGAGCAAAACTCTCTGTCTCAAAGTTATGCTAACTTTTTTGACTTATTTTCTTTGGTTTTGGGGTGGTTGCTTGGAAATGCTAGAGTAATTACTCTTATCTATTATCAACTTTTCAATTACTCTATCTATAATGAAGTATTGAATTCTGTTGAATCTAAAATTTTATGGTAACTGTGAAGATGGAAGTAACTAGATAATTGATATATATTATACATTTATAATTTCCTTGTCAAATTGCTTATGTTTCAATTTATGCACTTTCAATATGACAAATGGACAGATGAGAAGTGTGAGGGTGTTGGTTCGTCTGAGGATGATCAAGACAATAGTGGCGGCGAAACAGAACTTCCTGAAATTGATCCGCGTGCTGAAGACCGAGAACTGAAGAGTCACTTACTAAGGAAGTATAGTGGTTATTTGAGCAGCCTTAAGCAAGAGTTGTCCAAGAAAAAGAAGAAAGGGAAACTACCCAAAGAAGCCAGGCAGAAGTTACTTAGCTGGTGGGAGCTACACTACAAATGGCCTTATCCTTCGGTATGTGTATTTCCTTTTAGCTAACTTGATTCCCACTGCTCTCAACTCTTATTGCTAATTATTAGTTCAAGAAATTATTTCGGCACAGTCACTGAAATATTGTTTTGGCAATCCTACAGGAAACAGAGAAGGTGGCATTGGCTGAATCAACTGGTTTGGACCAAAAGCAGATAAACAACTGGTTCATAAATCAAAGGAAGCGGCACTGGAAACCTTCTGAAGATATGCAATTCATGGTGATGGATGGCCTTCATCCACAGAATGCTGCTCTCTATATGGATGGCCACTACATGGGTGATGGTCCTTACCGTTTAGGACCATAAACAATTTGTGAGTTAGATACAACTCCCTATGCTTCCACAAGAAGGCTGGAATCTACATATATATATATATATATATATATATATATATAGTGTCATTATCAAGTGTAGCATATAAGTGTTAGTCATGCCACATTGTATTTTAATTGAGAGTTGGGTAATGTCCTAAAACCAAATTTGATAGTTTTTTCTTCCACAAATGCCATCACTATGATTTGGTGTAGCTTGTCTATGTATGTTACGGTGATCATTGAGGACAGGGAATGCAGTAATTGTCATTGTACACTTGATTTGGGATGTTTTCATTTGCTTTCTTAGAAGTTCGAAAAGATGTGTGTTATCAGTTAGCCGTGTCTATGAAGAGTGTAAGAAGATAGGTTTGAACTTGGAACTGCACCTACAACTACCAGCTATCAAGTGTATATAACGAAAAAGGTTTGTAATGAGCCGAAGTATCTAGTTTATCTAGTGAGTATCGCTTTTAATTTTATTTTTTTCCCCTTTTTCTGCAAATTTGTCGGTTTTTCAGTATGTTTCTGATGACTGTTCTTCAGCATCCAGATGCATGCTCGTGAATGAACAATCTTTCCAGATGTTCGTCTTGAACGATGTCCAGTGTCATTCTCAAAGAAAATAACGTTATTTTGGTGAAAGGGAAATCTGAAATTAAAGATGTTTTGTCCCTTTATTAGCATCAAATTAAGCCGCCATATTCTGTGGAGGGAGAATCGTTGGCATGGAGATACATGCAGTTGCCAAGTGCATGCAATTCAAAGTTAAAAAACTTTTGAAGAATGTATTATACGACACAATCTCACAATTTCAATTAGAATATGGAACAATTTTAACCGGAGTTGAAACCCCTTGTAACAGTTAGGGGTGTAATTGAGCCGAGTTTTTTGACAAATCGAGCCGAGCTTGATTACTGTAGCAACGAGCTCGAGCCCTATCGAGCTTGGGAAAGCTGAATCGAACTTGAACTCGTAATACTGTTTCGGGCTTGAATTCGAACTCGAGCTCGAGCCAGCTCAAATTCGAGAAAGCTTGATTTCAACCGAGTGCAAAATCAAGTTGTAGCTCAAATTTGAGCTCGACTAGCACAAAAAAAAAAAAAAAAATAAAAAAAAAAATAAAAATGAAACACCAATTACATGAAATTGAAACATAATTACATATTTACATTGCAAAGCATGGCATAATAAGTTCAAGTACACTGATATAATAAAATCATAAGTTTAATATCAAGATTCAAGAAGAACAATACTAAAAAATTAAAGTGTTACATAAAAGATCCCACAAATTCATGTACAAAAAACATAACACCATATATTGGCAAACACAATTGTGAGTTGCTGGAAGCTTGGAATACAATAGCAAAATGTTCATCTTGTAAGTAGTTATAGCAAACGTGCACTCTAAGGTTGTGTTTGGAATCTGGATACCTTCAAAAACTGAGAAAAAATAACATGAGTTAAAAATGGTGTAAATATTACAAGGATAAAGCATGATAATGCCTGATGTAGCTTACAAATATTCATGATACTGCCTAATGTAACTTAGAAATAGTTACTCTATAAAGCATGCATTATAATTGCATCTAAATATTGTTCGATGAAAATGAGAACTTAACCAATGATATAAATATTACAAGGATAAAGCAATTGCATCTAAATATTGCAACCTAACATAATAAACAAAAGAGTACATGATGATGAAGACACTAAGTTGCCTAAACAATGCAAACTGCCAAACCACAACAAAACCTACAAACTTTAACATCCTCAAAAACCAACAAAGCTCAATCACACTCTCCATAAACAGCATACTAATTTTCTACAAAAAAAAAAAAAAAAAAAAAGAATCATTCAAAACCTTTGGGGTTGTCCACCAAAAAAAGATATTACTTATACTAATTTCTTATAAGTAAGGCTGTCCACCGAAGTCACCACAACTCTTCATTAATGCTTTTATCATTTCATTTCAGTCCACAATTTATAGCCTTACAAACCGTTAGCAACATTAGGTAAGGTAAGGTAAGGCTGTCCGCCAAAGTCACCCCAACCTTTGATTAATGCTAATTTTTTTTTTCTTCTTCCAAACAATAAAACATATACATATACCTGCCAATTTATCAAAAGTTGGATTGTTTGGACTGTTGGAGGATCAAACATCTACTGAATCACTTCAGTTGAAGGGATAGGAAGCGTAATCTTCATTGGTTGAATATCCCTCTAAAATACATATAGAAAAAGATAAAAAAGTTTAAGTTAAGAGTAAAATAAAGTTAATTACAGATAAAGGAGGAATATAAATTTTATTAATTTAATAAATGAACTTACTTTGCTCTCCTTCAATCCGTTAAGATTGCGGCACCAATCACCAGCACATAGTAGCACTTGGACTGTTTCAGGAGACAATGAGGCTCGATAAGTGTCGATGACTCTACTTCCGACACTAAAACTAGCCTCTGATGCAACCATGGTGATAGGAATGACTAGTACATCACGAGCCATCTTAGATAATATAGGATACTTTGAACTATTCCATTTCCACCAAGCTAAAGAATCAAAAGCATCATGAGCTTTTAGACATTTGTAACATCCCTCATCTAGATAACAATCCAAATCTGATTTTTCTGATGCAACTGTATCACTTTTGTCTACTAAACTCAGTAATACCAAATAACTAGAAGAGCATCTCCTGTAGACACCCCACTGTTGCTAGGCCCACCACTAACCCCTACATTAGCACTGCGATTGGCAATAGAAGATTGCCTATCAGCCACATTTTCCCCATACAACTCATATAAGGCCTCCCGAACTCTTGCAACACGCACCCAGGATTCTTGAGGACCAATTTTTTTGGGAAAAACACCTTCAATCACTCTCAATTTGACCTAGGGTCCAATACCGCAGTAATAACCATCAACAAATTACACTCTCCCCAATACTGATCAAACTTGGCTTTCATCAACCTTACCATGTTCCAAACAAAATCATCCTCATCATTTGCATGTTTATCCAACAATATTTTCACCCTACAAACCTCGGCCAGAAACTTATTTGATTTTGAATAGTCACACCCAGAAATGATATTTGTGGCATCACTAAAAACTTTTAAAATCTGACAAACTTTCTCAACTCTGTCCTAGTCTNATAGAAAAAGATAAAAAAGTTTAAGTTAAGAGTAAAATAAAGTTAATTACAGATAAAGGAGGAATATAAATTTTATTAATTTAATAAATGAACTTACTTTGCTCTCCTTCAATCCGTTAAGATTGCGGCACCAATCACCCGCACATAGTAGCACTTGGACTGTTTCAGGAGACAATGAGGCTCGATAAGTGTCGATGACTCTACTTCCGACACTAAAACTAGCCTCTGATGCAACCATGGTGATAGGAATGACTAGTACATCACGAGCCATCTTAGATAATATAGGATACTTTGAACTATTCCATTTCCACCAAGCTAAAGAATCAAAAGCATCATGAGCTTTTAGACATTTGTAACATCCCTCATCTAGATAACAATCCAAATCTGATTTTTCTGATGCAACTGTATCACTTTTGTCTACTAAACTCAGTAATACCAAATAACTAGAAGAGCATCTCCTGTAGACACCCCACTGTTGCTAGGCCCACCACTAACCCCTACATTAGCACTGCGATTGGCAATAGAAGATTGCCTATCAGCCACATTTTCCCCATACAACTCATATAAGGCCTCCCGAACTCTTGCAACACGCACCCAGGATTCTTGAGGACCAATTTTTTTGGGAAAAACACCTTCAATCACTCTCAATTTGACCTAGGGTCCAATACCGCAGTAATAACCATCAACAAATTACACTCTCCCCAATACTGATCAAACTTGGCTTTCATCAACCTTACCATGTTCCAAACAAAATCATCCTCATCATTTGCATGTTTATCCAACAATATTTTCACCCTACAAACCTCGGCCAGAAACTTATTTGATGTTGAATAGTCACACCCAGAAATGATATTTGTGGCATCACTAAAAACTTTAAAAATCTGACAAACTTTCTCAACTCTGTCCAAGTCTTCTAAGTTGGGACAAGAATGATAATGCGAATCCCTTTCATAGTAGCTTGAAAACACCATTTTGAACTTCAATGCAACTGACAACATCTCATAAGTTGAGTTACACCTTATTTTAAAATCGAGGATTAGCTTACGGTATGGCAGCTAAAAGTGTTGTACAATCTATGAAAAAATGGTAAGTCAACTATCCGATTGATTGATGTAAGACACACTATCATGGGCATTCTAAATGACGTGCCTAATATGAATAAGACTATCTTGTACCATTATATTTAATATGTGCACACAACACCTAACGTGAAACAACTTACCTCCACAAGCAAGCCTCCTGGTTATTGAAAAGTTTTCCTTCATAACCGATATTGCCACATCATTACTCGAGGCGTTATCAACTGAAGTCGTAAAGACCTTGTTTTCAATTCCCCATTCCTTTAAACACTTGAATATACAATCAACAATCTGAATCCTACCCCGAGGAGGAGGTAAATGAACAAAACTGAGCACACGCTTATTCAACCTCCAACTAGGATCTAACCATGTATTCAATCTTCTGGTTGCTTGAATTCCACAAATCAGTTGTCAAACTTATTTTATCGACATTCTTCAATAGATTCTTCAATTTCTTTTTTTCCATATCATACACCTTCACACAATCATTTATACTAGTAATATGCGATATTCTTTCCCAGCAAGGCGTCACATACTTTGGCAATTTGTTTAAACCCTCTTCCTCCATAATTGTGAATGGGTGCTCATGCATAGGCACCCAATGTGCAACCAATTCCCTCATAACTGTCATATCAAACTTACCACCTATTAGAGCTGACATCTCAGTTTGTCCCATATTAGACTCTGATGGCAGGACATTTATTTGTTTTTGTTGTCTCATGGCAACCATTCATCGCGAACACACATTTAAATGTCTAGAAAACTGAGTAGTGCTTCGGGTAGCATTAATGGGCAGTTTTGCTTTACAATGGTTGTTTTTTGCCTTTTTTGTATCGTCGGGTAGAACTACCTCCGAAAATTCATTCCAGATCGTAGATGTCTTAGCTCTTTTCCTTTCACAGAATAGATTAGTATCATTTTCATTGGATAGGCTACTACCACAAGTTTCAGTTTCAGCTTCATTCCTATTAGTTGTGGGGTTTGTGGTCTTAATCTGAACCTTAACCAAGTGTTCATCCCACGTGAGACGGAAACCAGATAAGGAATCCATACCTA